AAATTTTAGTATTATTTATTTACTCTACTTCTTCTAGCGATGTCTAATTCTAAACTGATTATTTTGAAAATTCTTTTGATTTTACTTATCTTTAACTTTGGTAACTTATGAAAGAGCACAACTTCCCAACAATACTGCTTTCTTGATATGTAGGTAAGAAGAGTTATTTACAAATTCTTAAAGCCATAGTGCCAGTGGCGCTCGAAATTGTTTGATTTATAAAATGTCCCTCCCCTAGGCACACACTAACTGATAGATAACCTTAATGTAAATGAAAACGAGTGATATAAACTTAATCTATAAGTAAATAATCACAATTGACTTAGTCTACATAGTTTATCGTCAATATATTAGAACAAATGACAAAAGAAATGCTGCTGATCAGCAAACGATAACATATGCGCGCATGTATAACTATTTCAATTGAATCTTTGGCGCCATGGAATACCTCGAATACTATGCCAACACCTAGACCTATGATTTTCACAAGCATTGATTGTAAATACAAATAAAGCGTATATGATAGAAATATTATCGGAATTTGTTTATGTGTGCATACAGTAGAAGTAAAAGTAAGTAAGTAGCCGTGTCACTTACTTCATATATTTATTAGATAACAATAATTTTTTTTAAATAACTAAATAAAAAAAAAAAAAAAAAAACAAGATTAATAGTATTTATCGCGTAAGCAAAACTCCAATGTATATTAAGAGGATTTTCACATACCTATGTAAAGATATAATCATGCGCAAGAACGCACGAGTGCGATTCGACTATATGCACATGCAACAAAGCATATTGCAAAGGGTCTTCCAAGTCGGCTTTATACCTTACATTTATTTATTTGATAATTGACACTATTTTTATTTTATTAAAGAAGATAATAACATGGAAGTTAAAAAAGCCACGAAATGCTGGTTCAACTGGTGCCCTGGAAATTTTTCGACGAGATTTTCCAAATCATGTTCGCATCATCAGGTTCGTCGGGCTATCGGTTTAAAGCTTTTTATGATTTATTCGATGCACAATTTTTTCTTTAATATAACAACAAAGAAATAAGATCAAAAGCCAGCGAACATTAGTTGCAATAACGGCCGCTACATAGCTTACTTAGCATCTCAAGTTTTTTTTTTCTTCTAAATTAATTAATTCGATTTGAATGACAAGAGATCATGAGTCTGCGAATCACAAATTATAACTAATAAATCAGTGGGGTCTCTCCGCATTCATTTCTGAATTAAATGCAATTTTGAAGAAATTCTTTATGACATCATCACTGCTCGACAGAATTTATCTCATTTCGAAGACTTAATGTGATGAATAGAAAATCCATGTATAAAAGAGAACCAACAAATCATTCAACAAACCAGTTGGCCAAGCCTCCAAGTCAAGCAAGCACCCGAACGAACAATAGTAATGACAAAATGAGTATAAATGGATTAATGCATTTTCGTTAAGTCACTATATTTGTATCTTTCCACAAAAATTCACTTTAACATCGTGGAGATAGAAGCACAAGCATTAATACAATAGACGAATACCATGTACCTGCATATTTAATGTGTTGACTTTGCTAATAACTTAATTCTACACTCAAGCAAAATCGTTCCTTCACAACTCATATTGAGAACTCTGTACATTTCACTTTAATACACAGCAAGCAACTAAATGGAAAGGGGTTTGGACATAATGATGCCTTTGACAGCTTTTTTTTTATATTAGAATTAATTTCAATTTACTTATTAAATACGTACAGGTTTTAGATGCCCTCTAACATTTGCTTTACTGAATAAGTTATTAAGTAAAGTATTGCTTTTGTAATCTTTTTCACCGAATACAAAGCATAATTAATTTTCTCTACTTGATGGTCAGTTTCAAATACTTATTTAATTTCGTCCAGATGTTTTCTGTCATGTTCTGATTAGATTAATTCAATTTAGAAAACGAAACATAAGGTAATTTATTTTGGAAAATTTGATTTATTACACTTACTTGAAAGTTGACCAGCTTTTCCTTCTATTTGAATTATATAAAATATGTAGACGTCGTTGCTTAGCATAAAACTTACATACGATTTCGCGTATCTGTCCTTGTATTAGATATTGCCAGAGTTTGTGGCACTTAGAGAATGACACACAATGATCTATATTAATCGTTAATTAACACTAGGCGAAAATTGATTAAGGTTTATTTCCAAAAATTTACGTTTACCACATTTCAAGCCGAATTAAAACATTAAGTTAACTAATTAATAATTTGCAGGCACAGACAGCAATATGAGTATTAAAGAAATTTTTAAATACTACTTGTTAGCTTACCTACTCTTTTCACATTTATTCTTTTCTCTTTATTTTGACTGCATTTCAAATTTAGCACATTCCCTCTACTATTAGCTACTCACCGCTTTAATTTACTTCACTTCACTTTATAAAAACTGAATAAATTGCTTATAAAAATATTTACCATGAAATTTTACATATTATATTTTACTTCGCGGCACATTTCACATTAAATCGCATTAATTAATAAGCAAATTCCAATAAATAATTTGCAGATTCCAAATTGGCGGCCAAATTCAATGAGCGCACTAATAAACTGTCGACTGAGACAAAAAAGGAGACATGTAACAACGCGTATGATAGAAGAGCATAAATATTCTACTACTATATATTAATTGGAAAGTGCCATCTTTTACAACTCAACAGTAGCTTTATTTAGCCTTAATTGGAACGAAAGTCCTAAGTCTGATGATACATCAACGATTTGTTCCACATAGATGAATATTCCATATCTGGATGCATTTTATGTTTATTATGAAATTTACTTATTATATTTTACTTTGCCAACACATTTCGCATTCAATCACCTAATTTAATAAGCAAATCTAACCAAATAACTCACATCTCCCAAATTGGCGGCCAAATTCAACGAGCGCACTAATAAACTACCGATTAGCAAAAAAAAACAGGCATGTAACAACCCGTATAAATGTCAGAGAAAACCTTTCCACTACTGTGTGAGAAAAGTTCCTTTTTTTACAACTAATCGATAACTTTGTTTAAACACAATGCATTTTTATCTATTTAAATTATAAAGTATTTGTAAAAAGACAACTGAAAAGAGCTTCCTTAACCTGATCAAACATAAAGCATTTGCATCAATATCCTATAGGGAAGTGGTTGTATTTACGATAGTGCGGTTTTGGAAAGTTTAGGCCAATGGAGTACTCATATTAAAAATGTGATTTACTGAGTCATTGCTCTCATTTTAAAATGGTATCATTCGATATTTTCGTTAAAACAAATCTTTGTTCTTCTTCGAAAAACCGGCAACTTTTCTTACAGGCAGAGCGGAAAGCATTAAATTGCAAATGTTATCGGTAATCGGTAGATTCCAAAAACTTTTGCGTACTATAAAAAAGAACCACAATTACCTATGAGTACTTAAGAAAACAAATACAAATATTTACATAATTGCTCTTGAGAGCGCTTCAGTTTGATAATTAAGTTCTTGTTGACACTTGTTGACAACTTAATTAAGAAGAATTCCAAGATGTTGTTGTTAATAAAAAGTCATTTAAAATTTCAATAAAGTATAAGCTTCCTTAACTCAAGCTAGAGTAATAAGAAAGGCGCCAGTAAATTCATTATAGAAACGCAAACAAACGTCTAAGTCATCTAATATTTTAATTGATAAGTTTCTGACACATTAAGGATCGCAAATTCGCGAAAAAAATAAAAACATAATTTTTAAAATATTTAACCAGTATTCAACAACTTTTAAGATTCTGTATAAAAAAATAGAAAACAAAAAAAACATACAAATTTAATAGAAAATTTTGACTTATCCGCCCACCAAACGCGTAACAATATTTTTACGGATTTTTTTAAGATAATATCGTATTTTTCTTTTAATTTTAATGCTATATTTTCAAACAAACTGTTTTAATCCTATTAAATCCTTAAGCAGAGAGAGATTCGAACATAAATAAAACCTAAAAACCACAAAAGAACAACATTTTCGTCATCATCATCATCATCAGACTTAGCCACGGGGCGCACGTCGCATTATAAATTCAACAATTTTTGCTAACTCATGCCAAAATAGAAACAAATAAGAAAGCTATGTTCAGCTCCAAACGAATTTTGAATACCCATCAGTTTAGGTAAAGGTTTCTTTGAAAAATGATCTATATGTGATTTCTCTATCATTTAGATGTAAGATGTTATATGATAAAAGTAGCATGTGTAATATATTAAAGGTTATATTTTTGATATTGAAATATTGACTTCGTAAAGTAAAGCAAATAAGACGTAATTTAATGTACAAGATTTACCTGAAACCTAGTTTTAAGCCTAGTTTCTAGATCTTCTTCAAACATTTAATTTCTATTGTTTGTTGTTTTAGAATTATTTCGTTTATCACGTCGACTTTTAAAATTTGATGCCTTGATAAAATTGAATCAGAAATATGTGCTTCAGACCATAGCGACAAACGAAAGGATGAACCGAAGGACATATGAATGTCACTAAATATTTTCAAAATCTCTCTCCATGCAAAAGTATATTTACTCTCGGGCTTGTAATCGACATTAATGCTTGTTACAAGCAAAATGACAAACGAAGCATGTTCTTATACTTCGATTGTAGATAAAAACAAAAATAAATGACGAAATCAAACCGAAAATTTCATTACAAAACTTTCAGATACATTTGTACGTACCTGCACTAGAACAAAAGATATATAAAAATTTACTAAATTATTCATGGAATGTTTATAGCATATAGCATTAACCATGTGCGTAAACATGTTCGTTTGAAAACACTCCTCCTCATGTGATGCAAAATACAATATAAGATATATGAAAATCTCACGCTGATTAACTTTGACAACGTGCATCACTGACAAAATCATTCAAAATCCGAATGATCACAAAACTAACAAACTTGTCTAATTATCGCATTGTTTGTCTCCTTTGTTTTTTTATATATCCTTTGCAGCACCAAAGTTACCTGCCACTATGCATGATTATCAACTAAACAGCCAGACTACTTTGGATGGTATGTGCCGTAATGTATCTATATCTGGTAGTATAGTAACAAGTCATCAATTAGGTGTTCAAAATGCAACGGGCATATTATTAAGCGGTAATCATAGTCCAAATAATTTGGGTATGAGTTGTGCCTTGACAGCTGCCGCAAATAATTCGGGCCGTACAAATTTTACCAATAAACAATTAACAGAATTGGAAAAGGAATTTCATTTTAATCGTTATCTAACGCGAGCAAGACGTATTGAGATAGCAAATACCTTGCAATTAAATGAAACTCAGGTATGTTGTTAACTTTCAAATCAAGATCTGTATGAATTCAAAATTAATCTTAACGTTTATGAAATATGAAAAATAGGTGAAAATCTGGTTTCAAAATCGTCGCATGAAACAAAAGAAACGAGTAAAAGAGGGACTAATACCAGCCGATGTCTTAAGTCAACATACGGTTTCTACGACAACCACACCACCCGCTACTAACTGCAATTCAACATCTTCAGTACAAAATTGTCCAGCAAAGTCATCGTGCAATACAAATAGTAAATGTCTTAGCAATAATAATAGCAGTGACGGTATGCATAGCACTTCTACTAAACCAAATGCAAATATAACAGATTGCCAACTACAAACAACTGTACTCGGCGACAGCAGCAGAGAGTCGAATTGAGAAAATAGCGAATAAACATAAAAATAGAAAAATATATGTTTGCTTTAAGACGACTATCTAGAAGATACACCACTAGAAACAATGGTTTTAGATGTGAATTTATCAACGGGTTGGCAGGGACCATTTTCAATATAATCCGCACTACACGCTATAATTCGAATAGGAACATTTTTCTTTTTTGAATTTTCATGGCCGTACGGTAGAAAAAAAGTAGGGAGATGAATAGCTACATAAAATAATGGACTCAAATATGCTTGCTTAAATGAATAGTTGATCAAGGTGGAAGGGTGTTTTGAAAACGGGCGGGTAAATAAGCGCAGAAATGACTTATACGAAGGCGGATCAATCAGCAAAGAAACGGGAAAAGGGCCGTAATAACAAGCATTGGAATAGGCGTACCTTAATTCACGAAATCGGTCAGTAAATGAAGAAAGGAAAAGGCGTATGATTGGACAAAGAAGCAAATGTTCAGGCGAGTAGAAGGACCGACATGCGATCAAGCATATGCTAATCAATGATGTGCGTACTTTAAAGGGATGGATAAGTAATATTACTGAGTTATCCAACCGAAATGACTAAATTAACATTCGAAATTTGCTCGGTAGCGTGACTAAATGTTTTTTTTTCGAGATTTTTTTTCTGTCGCAATTGTATATTGTATACTGTAGGCGAAGGGATCAAGTCAACTTTCAATATTAGACTCAGAATAAATTCAATGTTTTTTCTCAGTGTTTCGGAGATCCCAGTTACTAACTTTAAATCAATGTCTATGTTGACTTAGAATCTCACGCTGGCTAATAAGTATTTCCAAATGACATATATACATATAATAATGTGCAGGTGTAATATATATATACAAAATCTATATCACAGACTATATAGAAAATAGACTATATAGAAAATATGTACGTAGATATGATACATATATGTGTATACACATACTTACATATATACATAATTTACGTACATACGTTTGTATTCAATGTAGAAAGTAAAATATCTATCATACAGAGATATGGTATATCTACATATACATATGATACCTTCATATATATTTATGTACGCATGTTTGATATGTTGGTTAATATATATAGACTAAAGTATTTAATTTCACTATCGCGGTGGTGGGTGTTGTTTGTTGTCCGTTCATTTGGCTGTGATATGCTTCTTGGCATCAATGTCTGTACATAACCATGTTTCTTGTGTAAATAAAACAAAATTACATTTAACCAGCTCAGGGATAACTTTTTTTAAGAAAAATCTAGAACAATTTATTATTTCTTTCTCTCTCTTTTTCTAACATTTAAGTCAAACAATAGATCAAAACTTAAATGTTGCAATAGAAAATTTATTAATAAATCGCTTTCGGTTTTAAGTAATCTATTTTTAATTAAACATTGTAAATAAGTTTTTAT